ATATATATATATATATATATATATATAATTTTAAATATAATATCACATAACTTAATAGTTACATCAGTTATATTTATTTCATAAAAAGAATGAAAAATATAAAATTTAATGATTTTTTAAACATGTACTTTATAATAACGGATCCCTACTCTATTTATTAGCATTGTTTCTAATCTGAGTATAAAAGTCTCTGAATTTGGTGATTTTCATTATGATACATACTTTAAATAAGTATTATATTTTTTATTCATTAATTAATGTCTTTAAAATATGATTTTATATTTTACTATATTTTCCTAAACTTGAGAATTTTATCAATACCCTTCCTTAAAAATGTTGTTAAGGTTAAAAAAATATTTTCTTTTAACTTCTTTATTGTAAAAATTTTATATTTTCATATTGTCAACATTAACTTTAAAAACGGTGAAATCAGTCTATTCTTTCAGATAATGTAATATTTGTTTGATTGAATCGAATTAATGGCTTACCTGCCTTTGCATGCCAAGCGGTGATTTAATTTAAGTATGAGATTCGCCGATTGCACCCTAACCGACTCTTCTTTTTTTTTTTTAGCGTTCTAACTAACTGGCACGCCATTCAAAGCAACATTTATAAGTTCAACTACCAACCAATCTATTCATTGGTGGATAGTACAGTATTTCTTTACTTTTGTATAACACGTTTTTAAGTTACAGTACTATACTATGGAATACTTATAGATTTTGCGAATGATTACACACTTGAAAATTCATATAACAAAACATTGTCTTGCAATTACCGTCATGTGTTATGTCCTTTAACTTAAATAAATAAATCTGTTACCCTGTATTATAAGAAAATAAGACTTAAATTTTATCTAATGGATATGAACTTGTAAAAAGAATAAACGAATTAATATATATTTAACACAAAAAAAAATTACTCCCAGACAATGCAGTTTCATAACTAACCATAATGCATTGGACATCAACAAAAGTGTCCCAATTTACAATTTTTTTATTAAAAAAAAATACAAGTACAAGTGTGTAATGATCCGTCGTGATTATTACACTTATGAATTTTTAACTAGGAATAGAACAACTATCATCAATCAACATACAACATGTAATAAATTCACTTAACTTATACATGTTCATCGATCCATCATACAAATAACAATAATTTTCAAAGTAACCTGCGTCCGACGCCACACAACTTGTGTCCAACATCATTGAGGCATGAAGCTTTCTATCTCGTTCATGTCTGACGTCATACAACCTATGTCCAGTGTGGATTAGGTAAAAACCCTTGAACCCTCGTGCTTGGCATGACAAAGTCCCACGTTCGATCCCAAACTAACTTGAGGCGATTCTTTTACTCCAAGTTCGACGTCATTCAAACCCCACCTAATGTGATTTCAACTATAGATGTTTCTCTCTCCCCACGCTCAACACCACCAATCTTGCGTCCAGTGTGAGCAAGACAAATACCCCTTGGTTGAAGTTGTGCATGGCACAATAATGAATTCTACATATAATAGACTTACGAATTGGCTCACCATCACCTAAAAAACAAATGATCTTAAGCATGCAATATAACATAATGCATCTATAAATTATATTTAGCTCAAGATTCAGCAAAATATCAACATGCAACCAAAGATCATCCTCTTTCACCAAAATCATTCAACATGTTCAAAACTCCAACAACTCGACAACATGCAACTTCATCTCAACCATTCAAACAACCATGAATTTCAAATGAATTCTAACCAATATGTACATCCTAAATCAACATAAACAAAAGTTTTAGCTTTTCTTACCTCTGAAGATCCCCAAATCGAGCAGAAGAGAAAAAGGGAAGCAAGATGAACTCGAGCTATTACTGAAGCTCTACACCAACTCTGATTCTTAGTTCCATGGGCTTTGAATCAGCAACACAACACTCAAGACCACTAAGGGAAAGAT